AACTTGTTTGAACGTAAAAGCAACGAGTGGGAACTGATAATCTAGTTAGAATACTGCAAGCACACAGTAGGCAACATNTTATATAGACACGAGGTGAGCCGACCTAATAGAAAGCGCTTCGGTCACGTGGTTTTAGTCCAATCGTGTAAACGTGCTGCAAACAATGCTAACGTGATATTGTGAGTTTCTAAACTATTTTAATTAATTTGCAATTACTGGAAATTTTTAACGTCATTACATTTCTCTAATTTAGCACCTTGATTAGCTGTTTTTATAATTAAACTTTTGGATGGTAATTAATTATCAATTTCCAAATTAAATGTTGCTTTACGAATAATTTAACCTACATACATCCCTGACAAAAGTGAAATCGTGCTAATCGTGTAATAAACCGTATGTATGAAATTACATATTTTACAAATTTATTCAATTAAAGGTCAGACGTTCAGGTTTTGCGTAAACGACGGGAACGAAAAATACAACGGAGTAAAAACAATCAATTAGCTGTATTTATAATTAAACATGTGGATGGTATTTATCAATTTACAAATGAAATAGCTTAGGCAGAAATGGTGCTACAGATCTCTTTAATCTACATACTTTCCTGGCAAAAATGTAACTTTTCATAATCAGTTTCTCATGCTAACCGTACGTATGAAATTACATATTTTACAAATTTATTCAGTTATGGTTCCCATTTCTGAGTAAACGACCGGAACGTAAAAAATACAACAAAGTAATAATAAAAAAACAAGACAGCTTTGAAGAAAGAGAGGCTCGATATCATCGTTTCATTGATGGCTCTGAGAAGAGCCGTTTGTTAATTTTTTTCAAATTTTATTCTCGCTATCAATCTGAAGTTTTCTTGTTGCCGCGGCGGTGGGCTTTGCCTGTTTTTTGGTGGTAGCCCATTTCGGTTTTTTAGATTCCTTGGCCTTTAGATGTTTTAACTTTTGTAGCCAGTTATCGACAAAGTATTATTAATTATTACAATTTGCATTTTGCACCAGAAAATTTGATTTTAGTGAAAAAATAGCAATCGCATAAAAGCCTAATAGCTTAGGCAGAAATGTTGCAACAGTTCTCTTCAATCTGCATACTTTCCTGACAAAAATGAAATTTTTCATAATCAGTTTCTCATGCTAACCGCGTAAACCGTGCGTATGAAATTACATATTTTACAAATTTATTCTCTTATGCTACCCATTTTTGGGTAAACGAGCGGAACGTGAATAAAAAAAAGACAACGGAGTAATAATAAAAAACAAGACAGCTTTGAAGAAAGAGAGGCTCGATATCATCGTTTCATTGATGGCTCTGAGAAGAGCCGTTTGTTAATTTTTTTTAAATTTGTTCTCGTCATCAAACTGAAGTTTTCTTGTTGCCGCTAGTCTTCTTTTTGTTGGCCGCGGCGGTGGGCTTTGCCTGTTTTTTGGTGGTGGCCGATTTTGGTTTTCTAGATTCCTTGGCCTGCTGTTTTTTAACTATTGTAGCCGGTTTCTTTGGAGAAGCGATCTTTTTGGCGGCCGCAGGCGGTTTCTTTACGGCTTTCTTGACACTGGAAGTCTTTTCGACTGGCTTCTTCGTGCTGCTAGATGCCGTTGCCTTTTTAGCCGGAGCCGCCTTTTTTGCAACAGACTTTTGACGTTTGTTTGTCGCTTCCGGTAGCGACGC